TAGCAAGCGCAAGGTCGTGAGTTCGGTTCCCGGTACCGGAGAAAAACGAAAAAAAAAAAAAAATATATGTTCCTCTAGTGAACTTTAACTGATTCAGATTTGGTGTCTTAGTTACTTTCTTGTGATTGAGACACAATATCTGGGGAAAGGAAGTAAGTTACAGCTCACAGTTTGTAAAGGTTTTAGTTCATAGTTGGTTGGCTCCAAGGCCTAAAAGAAAGAGTTCATGGTATAATGGCAAGAAGCAGAGGTTGATCAAAGGCAGAGGGAGGGAGATTGACCTTTCTAACCAATAATGCCATTAATGAATCTTCTCTGATCAGCCTTAACCTCCCAAATCACATTTAGTTATAAACTCATCAGTGGACTAATCCACACCTCATGATCCAATCACCTCTCAAAACCCCAACTATGAGCACACGAAGCTTTGAGGTGACATCCCCATATAAACTACAACACCAGACTAACATAAAAATTCCACCCAACAACTGCAGAATCCGTGCTCTTTTCAAGCACACACAAAAGAACCATGATAGGCTGAATGCTATGGACTAAAATAAGTTTCAGTACATTTAAAAGAATTAAGATCATAAAAGATATGCTTCCAGTCACAACAGAGCTAGATGTCAATAACAGAAAAAAAATCAGAGGAATCACCAATGTTGGGAGATAAAACAACACATTCTATGATTCAAGAGGAAATCACAAGGGAAATTAGAAAAATATTTTAACCAAATGAAAAACAACTAACAAAATTTAAGTGATGCAGTTAAATCAATGTTTATAAGGAAATTTAAGATTCACCTTTTGTTTTTGCAGTATTGGGGAATTAAACCCAGAGCCTCAAACATGCCAGAGAAGCTTCCTAACTCAGCAATGTGTCCATCCTGCATACTTATAATTTTAAAAACCTGTAAGAAAAAAGGAAGAAAGTTTCCAGTCAGTAATCTAAGCTTTCATTTTAAAAATGTGGAAAAAGAAAAGCAAATTTTCAATGATCAAGAAAACTGAGAAACTTTTATCTAGACTGACCAAGGAAAGAAAAGAAAGAACGTATGAATGATCAAAATTAGTATTGAAATCAGGACATCACTACAAACCCTACAGAAATTAAAATGATTATAAAGGAATATTCTGAATAACTATGTCAACAACTTATACAATTTAGAAGAAATGAACAAATGCTCAAAATGTCATAATATACCAAATTCAGGAAAAAATAGAAAATCTGAGTAGATCTATAAAACTAAATTTAAGATTAAAACTATTCTCTCAAAGACTAGTTCAGGCCCAGATAGTTTGACTGATAAATTCTATGTAATATTTAAAGAAATTTCAGCCTTTCACAGATTCTTTCAGAAAGCAAGGGAGAAAATACTCTCCAATTCATTCTGTGAGGCCAGTTTTATCCTAATGTCAAAGCCAAAGGTATTACAACCAAAGAAAATGCAGATTAATAACCACCATGAACATAGACACAATAGTCATTACCACAACATTAGCAAATTAGATCCATGAACAACTAAAATGAACTGTACACCAAAACAAATTAAGATTTACATCAGGAATGCAAAGCTGTTTGATTTGTGGTTTAAGATCTGAAAAATTAATGTAAAATATAAAGAAAAATATGATACGATCATCTTAATAGATTAAAAAATCTGATATCCATTCACAATTTAATTAAAAGCTCCCCACAAACTGAGAATAGAAGAAAACATCCTCAACCTATAGATTTTGTGATAGTTGTATAATTCTATAAATTTACTATAATGATTTCATTGAATACTCACAACATTTACTACTGAGGTAAATGACACCTCAGTGTAACTATTATAAAAATGACAAATGACCAATATATTTAAATTTTATCAGTAAAAGTTGTATAGGCAAGAACTGTGTGTTTATTATGTTCTCTTTGACACACAGCTCATTAATGTTACTCAATATTCAATTGAGTTTTACAAATTAATCATGTTCTGTGGGCTGTTATATAACCCATGTCCAGGCATTCAGGTTGCTACATGTCACTGTCATGACTAATTCTCTTTACCTTATTTTCTTCAAGGCAGCTTTTTGCCCTCATTTTATCATTTCTGTGTCTTTGTCACACTGTACCCTTGAGTCACAAGATGGTATTTTGGGCACATGTAGCTAGGTTGCTGTCCAGAATGACTTCAAAGTAGTTTGGGGAGGGCGTGAGGTAAACAGCTGGGTAATCACAAAGCAGAGAAGACCTTTACCAGATGTAGACAACCTTAACTCACTTTCATAGAAGAAATTTCTTTTTCTCTTTTCCTCACTAAAAGTTGAATAAGAAAAATCTCATAGTTCAGAACTTTTTCTAAAAGATGTGTTCTTTGGACTTTGTGCAGACCAAAGCCAACCTTATGAGGAAGCAGTAAGGAGGGAGGTGCACGAGGAAAGGGGTTTCACTCATTAATTCTTCAACCAATATGTCTTTAGTGTGCGCTTTGTGTGCCGAGCACTGTTACTGGTTGTAGAGAAAAAGCAGCACACAGTCTACTTACATTGTGCAGGGGAGAAATAAACAACAGACTAAGAAATATTAATATTTTGTCTATGAGGACTTTGAAAAGCAGAAAAAGTGAAAAAATTGGATGTGGTGAAGGTGACAGTTATCATCGTATGGGGAGTGAAAAGCCAAGGCTCTTCTAACAAGATGACATTTGAAAGTAGCTGAAAGAAATACGATAGGGAATTATGCTGCTAACTTGGGAAAAAGCAACCCAGGCAGAGAGGACATAAAATACAAGGGACCCTGGGCAGGAGCACTGTTGGTATATTCAAGGAAGAGAAAGGTGAGCAAGAGTATAGCTACAGGTGTTCATGGCAGAGACAAATCCAGAGAGCTAGAAGAGACAAGGCTTGCAGAACACCAAGGGCTTTGGGTTTGGATTTCGCTCTGAGTGAGATGGGAGCTATTGAGGAATTCTGAGCAAAGAAATGCCATGATCCGACTTCTGTTTTCTAGGAATTCCTCTGGCTGCTGGGTTGATACTGGATTCAGTAGGGCAGAGGCCAAAGCAGGGAGATTGGTTAAGACACAATTGCAATAATCCAGGCAAGAGGTGGCAGTGACTCTGTTCAAGGTGTTAGCAATGGAGACGAGAAGTGACCCTATTTTGTACCGATGTCTAAGGAAAATCCAATAGGATTAACTGGTGATTAGGTACAGGATATGAGAGAAAGCGAAAATCCAAAAATGATTGTTTATTTTAATAATTTAACAAGAGTTTTAGCATGACTAATTATACCCTAGGCACTGTTCCAAGTTCTGGGCAAATACTGATCATTTAATAGCTGCAATAGCCTATGAAATAGGCACTATTTTTATCCTCCTTTCTTTCCTTCAAGGTTTTGTCTCTGAGAAACGAGAGGGGTGGAACTGACATTTACTTACAAAGGGAAGATATGGTAAAGAAGAGGTTCAAGTTACTTCAGTAAGGTTGATATTAGAGTAGAGATGAGTGAAACAGCTTCACATAGGTGTCAAGTAGGCACCTGATCACAGGAGTGCAGAGTTAGGGAGTGGTCTAACATAGACATACACACTTGGTGCCTCTCAAGATTTTAAAGCCATGGAACTGAATGAGATATTTAAAGGAGTATAGATCCTGGAGAGAAGAGGACCAAGACCAAACTTGAAGCCATGCAAAGTTTAAATATGAGGCCCTGAGAATAAACCCTTCCAGAAGGCAGAGCAGTGCCCCGAGTGCTTGCCATCCTGGAAGCCAAAGGAATTGTTGAAAGAGGAGAACATGCACAATTGTATGACATGCTACAGATTTGTCAAGTAAGAGAGAACTGAGAAATTATTTTTTGGTTACTGTGAAGAAGAGCTGTTTCACTGAATAGTAGATGTGAAAGTTTGTGTGTAATGGTGATGTGTTCAAGGAGAAGAAAGTAAGAGATGGTAAATAAAGATGATTCTTTTGAGGCATTTTCTATAAAATGAAATGTGACAACAGCCAGAGGCCAATATAGGACAGAAAGAGAGAGAGAGAGAAAGGGAGGGAGGGAGAGGGAGAAGGAGAGGAAGAGGGCAGGATATATGGAGATACATGGACACAGATGCAATTATGGGGGATATATCATGGAGATTTGCGGAAAATCCCTTCTAATTGCTTCTAATTTCTCAACAAAATGGAGGAGAGACCCTAAGTACAGCAAGATCAGCTTTAAGAAGAGAGGTATGAAATGACCATCAGGGAAAATGGGGGCTTGTCCAAAACTTTAGCCCAACCACAGATCATTCCATTATTCTAGTCTCATAACTTGGGTCTCGAAAAGCTGGGTTTCCCAGGAGGCCCCTCTTAAAAGACACACACTGAGAAGCCCAAGTGCTTTCCAGCTGGTTTGCTTGCATAACAATTTGTGTCAGGATGTCTGAGCTGTGAGACAGTGGAGACTAAGGTCCCTGGGGCTATGATATTTGTAATAGGTTTTCCTGAGAAATCTAAATTTTCCTTTCTTTTCTGTTTTTTATTTTTTTTTTCAAGAAAAGTAAGTTGTTCAGTGTAGGACTGGACATAGTTAATTAGAAAAGTTTTCAAGATTTACTCTAATTCAATCTATTTATTAGAAAAATAATTTATCAAGCCACTTGTCCTGATTTTTTTTTTTCATATAGAAGTAAGATCTAAGTCTGAGGCATTGGTGGTAACTAAGGAAGTGGGTTTGAGAGAAAGAAAGGTTAATCCAGACCAGTAATATTTGCTGTCTCTGTGCTCATCAAACCTAACATATGTCATTTATTTAGTACCTCTTCTTAAATTATTACCAATTTTTTTTTACCAACATATTTACCAATACTGTCCTCTACCATTATGGTCAAAGAATTTCTAAAGAAATGTTAGATGCAAGATTTGGGTCACCTCTAAAATGGCAATAGATTGCTATGCAGAAGTAACCTGGGTCTGTATAGCCCCTAAGCTTTGAGTTCTGACCCTATTTCCACCTCACCCTCAGTGTCTTACCTTCACTGAGATTATTTCCTCTTCTGTAAATCATGTGTCCAGACACGGGCTGCTGTGAAATTCAGTGAAGCAATGTGTCCTGGGAAGTGTGTAGGTATGCTGGCACACCGAAAAGGCCATCACTCTTCTTAATTCATATGTTGTTTGACACTTAGACGGTACCGTCCCTTCCAGCTGGAGAAACATCTAGCGCTCCGCTCCCTCTGAGGATTTGTTTGAACTTGTATCTGGAAAACAAACCTTTTTCATTGTACTGTCACTGACAACACTCAATACTTCATTTCTGGCTATCAAAAATGTATGCATTTTTCTTTCCTTTCCAAGCAATTCTCCAATTCTCTGTGGACACCAGATAGGTGTCCTAGAGTTCAACAGAATTCTGACACTATCCAGAGTTAGTGCAGACCCCTCTATGCAAGCGTTTAATCGCAAAGATTCTTCCCAGCTTCCAGTGACTTGAGTGTTAGGTCCCCAGGTAACTTACAGCTTCCTTCTATCATGCCTACAAGTCATTCACAGAACCCAGAAGAATCATTGACTTATTAGGTCACAGGTTTACTATACACAGTATATATTAAAGGATAGCACTGAACAACCAGATGAAGGGATGCACGGGGCCAGACATGCACAAAAGAGTGTGGAACTTCTATGCCCTCTGGGGCACACCACCATTCCAGCACTTCACACATTCAGCAACTCAGACGCCTCCAAATCAGATCTCTTTGGGCTTTTGTGATGCCTCCATTATGTAAGGATGAGGGGTAAATCACTGACCATTGGTGACTGACTCAACCTCTTGTCCCTTCCCACTTACCGGAAGTGGGAGGTAGGGTTGACAGTTCTGATCCTCCAATCATGGGGTTAGTTTGATCCCCTGGCAACCAGTCCCCCATCTTTAGGGGTATTCCAAAAATCACCTTATTAACATAAACTCAGATGTGGTTCAAAGAAGCTTGTTATGAATAACAAAAGGCCTTTAGTACTTTTATCACTTAGGAAATTCTAAGGTTTTCCAAGAGTTCTGGCCTGGAACAGGGTATAAACAAAGACCAAAGTATATGTTTCTTATTATATCGTAATATTGCACCAAAATCTCTATTTCCTACTGAATCATAATATTCAGTGTATAACCAAAGACCTATATACCACAGATCAGAGAGAAGTAAAAAAAATTAGATAGTGGGGAATGTGCAGGTGTATTTTTAATTATCTCCTTGGCAATGTAAACATGTCAGGAACTGCTATGTATTTTGCTCATCGCTACCTTGTGTAAGACTCTGGGAATCTTAGGCTAACTGATATGGAGGGTATCTTCATTTTACCATAAAGTTTTTAATGTTCTAAGAGGGTGGGGGCCATATTCTAACTGGACTCAGGAGGGCTACTTAATAACTCATTAAATAAAAGCAAATGATTGAACAAATATGTGTCTTTCCTCAGCAGTTGGGTTCCAATGGACTGCAGGCACAGGGTCCCCTCATGCTGGCCTGGCCCTGGGAACTGAGTGGGTGGAAGCTGAGTTTAAAGATAACCTCCAACAACTGCATCCTCTGCTGATAGAGCCATTTAAATCTTGCAGCTGTTTTGCTGCTTGAGGCATTTTATTTTCTTTTATGGTACAGTTTAAAATGGAGATGGCAGGGAAAATGCTTAGAGCCACATATAGAACACCCTAGGCTGTGCTAGAACAGGAGTAAGAGGGCTGAGATCTGTGTTCTGAAGAAAACCTGTCCTTTGATGGTCTTTGTGTCAGTCACTCCAGATTCTAGACACTTTGGTCTGTGGAAAAAATGAAGGCTGCAGATCAGCCCATCAAACACAGTCCTGATAATGCAAGCTGTTACCCATTAACCCGACTGGTAGGAGGGAGTTGTTTGTAGCTGACACACTAATTTATTGTGTCTTTTACCACTTGAAGCGTGGGGCCACTCCCGTGCTTGTCACCTGGCCTTTTCTTTCTTGGCAAGTGACTGTTTTTTCCTTTTTCAGGACTGCCGGAGTCTAGACTGGGGTTATCAATGTAGATTGCAGGTTACGCTGTGCAAGGGTTTTTAACTTTTGTTAGCTAGCTGCAAATGTCTTCTAACAAGATCACAGGCCAGAGTCCAGTTTTTAAAAAGTAAATAGCTCTGAAAGTATCTGATCTTGAGCTGGCCATCTCCACTACATCCAAATCTATCCAACACACACACACACACACACACACACACACACACACACACACTCATGGAGGCCCCTCTCAAAATTTTCTAGGATTCTAAGCAGAAACAGTTTGAAAGCCTCTGACAGCCTTTGTTTTATAGATGAAGAAGCAGGTCTAGGTCTTCCCTGTACAACATGGTAGCTGCTAGTCACATGGGGCCAGTGAGTATTTGAAATAGCTCAGATGAACTGAGGCACGCTGTAAATATAAAACACATAGAGAATTCTGAAAACTTAGTGTGAAACAAACAAAACCAAGAATGTAAAATGTCTCAGTAGGGGCTGGGGATTTAGCTCAGCGGCAAAAGCGCTTGCCTGGCAAGCGCAAGGTCGTGAGTTCGGTTCCCGGTACCGGAGAAAAACAAAACAAAACAAACAAACAAAAAATAAAATGTCTCAGTAGAATTTTTATGAAGGATATGTTGAATGGGTACTATTTTGGACATGTTAGTTCAATAAAACAGATCATTAAGATCAATCCCACTTATTTCACTTTGCCTTTTAAAAAAGAACTACTAGAAAATTCAAAATTACACAAAATGGCTCATGTGTGCAGCTTGAGTTATAATACTATAGTATGGCACTGGTCTAGAATCTTCTTCTAAAATGGCTCCTTCAAGGATGGTTGGGTCTTTGGAAGCAGGTCATGACCTGTGACTCCTACCTCAGCGCTGTCTGCATTCTGCCATTCTTACGCTGCTCACTCATACAGATACGACTGATAGACAACAGGTCATAGTAACACCTCTTGGAGGTTCCATCTAATGTGATGCGATAAGAGGAAAGAACTCACAGATGAAAGTGAATGGCCTTCCCCGTCACTTCTGTCTATGCGGCATGTAGGAGGCACTGGTTTTGACACCAAAACAGGAAGGGCAGAATCTAGACCCTTTAATGATTATTCCCTTCTATAAATCACCAATCTTGCTTGGTGTCATTTCTCCTCTCTGTAAAGTGAGGGGATCTTTACAAGTATCCAAAGTCCTCCCCCAGCTCTGGAATTCTCTGTCTCACCATATTTGTGTTCACCTATACTCATCCCTGCTAGCAAATGCTTCTTAATGAGCTCTTGCGTGACTTTCTTTCTTCATAGTCACCTCCTCCCCAAGGCCAACTTCAGCAAAGAGAAGTTGTGTTAGGAAGGGAAGAATCCCTCAAAGACAAATCCAAATTACTTCCCCTTCCCCTTGCCCTTGAGGGCAGTGAGAGGTCAACTGTTCACTCTCCTCTGGGGCCCATAAAGGAGAACCAGGAGGAGGGAGAGGAAGGAAGGCAGAGTGGAAGGAGGGTAGAGAAAGAAGGAGGTGATGAATGAGAAGAAAATAAGTCCTAGGGATGCATCATTGGAGGGATGATTGAGTAATCTTCTAACTGGACTTCTTAGCTTATAAACTCCTAGAAAGCAGAGACCATGCCCTGGGTTTGAGGGGTGGGAGAACTGATGTCCGACACAGTACCCACATCCACTACTGTGCAGTAGACAACAAATGTGAGGAAGTCACTTCATTTGGCTCACTGAGCTTATTTATAGCCCCCTGCCTTTTACTTATGGCACATTTATAATAGGCAGGACAATAAAGACAGACAAGATGAATACAGTGAGGTACGTAGAGTGAGAGAAGTTAAATTAAACAGCAAGTTTATTAAACATTTTAGATGCCTTCATACTCTTAGGAAGCAGAAAACACCCAGATACTGTTTTAAATCCGGGAGTTTCCAGCCTTGCAACCGATCTTCCTGGCAGAAGGCCAGGCCTGCCGTCAGCGCGTGGGAGAGAGCAGCAATCTCAGGGCAGTGCTGAAGTTCCAAGTTTATGAGGCATTTATGGCAGGATGTAGTCAGTACCTATGGGTTTAGGGTATAATTTTCTCTCTAAAAGGTATTTCATCTCTGAACTGGAACACGTGCTAAGATACTGGTTCTGCCTTTGCTTTCTTTTTTAATGCCCCTCTGTTTTCAATTCGATCTCCGATGATATTGGAGGACTCCAAGCTTCTCTTGGCCCTGGGATAAGCAGAGTGAGCAGAAGTGGCTCTGAGGACTGTTCTGAGAGGACTGTCCCCCACACCCCATTGTCCGCATCTTCATATGTGCATGCTTTGGAGAAGGGAAAAGGAATTGGGCGCAGCTCTGAAAGGCACCTGGAACTTAGCCTCTGCTGCCCATGCTGATGACACTGACGGTTGAGGTTAGCTCAACCAGGAACCAAAGCACACTTAATTAAAAGAGACTTTTAAGAAAGGAGGTGAAACCAGGATATCCAATTAAAATTCCGGATTTCTGGAAGGTTAGAAAAGAGTAAACCTGGGGCAATTAGATGGTAGCAGTAGTGGGGAATCTCATCATTAATCCTGCAGGGGTTGTTGATGCTGTTGATTCTGGTGCCTGATAACCTGCCTCCCAGAAGACAGAAGACAAAGTTAAACTCTACCAAAGCCAGTGACCAAGCAGCTAATGCTGTTTCAGGATTCCTTCCCGGAGTATCTACCGAGACCCTTGTGTTTCCTTTGAGGCATTCCAGACATGCACAGAAACTGCTGCTTTGGCAGTTTCTTACCTGTGCAGGAGTTGATGGAGGCCGGGCATCCTGAAGTGGAGCTCGGAGAACGTCTCCGGGATTGGGCACAGTCTGTTCACACAGTGCCAGTCACAATGCCCTGCGGGGGAAGGCCTCCATAACTGCACTTCCTGACTAGGGCTGTGGGGAGATGCTTATCCTTCTTCTCACCGAGCCTTGTTTTCCTCTCTATTTTTTCTGAACACACTCAGGAAGTCAGTCTTCATATCCTTTTACCCTGTAAGACTGTACAGGGGAAGGAAGCGCTTTCTTCTTGTGTGCCATCACTAGTCTTCTGAGAGCTACCTGTGAGTGACACAGGTTTTGAACTGTGAAGAAGAGCCAAGGACTCCAAGTCAGGGAAAGTGCAGGCTCACCACATGTCACAGTCTGCTCGGCCTGCAGTAACAAAATATCCTAGACTGCTGGCTGGCACAACAGAAATATCCAATTAAACTGTCGTGGAGGCTGGAAGTCTAAGGTCAAGGTACCTAGAGGGTTGGTTCTTTTGAAGTCTCTCTCCTGGGCTTGCATATGGATGTCTCTTCCTTTTTTTTTTTTTTTTTGCATGAAATACCTTCTGTTCTTATAAGGACCCCAGCCGTATTGGATTAGGACCCACTTCTAGACCTCACTGTAACTCAATTACATTTTAAAAGGTTCCGAGCCTGTGTACTGCGCAGGTTAGAATTCCAACATATCAACTGGGATAGGGGGACACAAGTCAGCCCAGAACACCATGTCCATGCCTGTCAGGAAGGCTGGAAACCCGGTACCACACCCTCCATGGCAGCCCATCTCATTTGCATAACTCGATGGTGTCATCCCCTGCCCTTACAAAAATGGTCCACTTTTACTGGTCTTTATGGCCTAAGAGGCCAGTCGTCCGTGGCTTCTCAGTTCCCTGGGTGTTGGGGGCTGTTTCCTGGAGTATTGTCCTTGGGGACAGCAGCACTGCCAAGCTGGAGACCCATGGACTCCCTCACTTGCAACTCCTCCTCAGCTGGCTGCTTCCCGCTCAGCCAAAACACACTGAAGCCTAGTTAAGAAGGGTTGCGGTCTTGCCTAAGGAGATAGGTGCGGCACACTGACCCCAGCCCCCTGGCCACGGCATTCTGGAAGATACCGTCCCCTCCTGAGCCTATACTTCCTGTGGTGTTTACAATTAGGCCTCTGTGTGAACCAGAATCAGAGATTCAGAATTTGTTTTGCTTCCCTCTATTCCTTAAAAATAATTCCCTGGCAATGCAGGCTGCAAAGGAAGACAGGACTACTGAACCCAGAGAGGATCTCTTCTGACCCTTCTGTGTTTTTTCGAAGAGCCACTTAAAGTCACTTCTGTCCCTGAAGCAGACAAACAACTGTCTCTTTTACTCTGGACTTTGCAACTCTACCCTATTTTCTACAATCACAGTGCAGAGCATATTACACAAACAGGCCTTGCAAACCCTCTCCCTGAATGATGGTTCCTGGGTGGTCCTTCTTGGGTGGGTCCCTGGGCACAGACACCCTGCGCCACGTCTCCTCCTCTGCTCTGCACACCAGGCCGATTCTGCCTCACACAGCTCGGCTCCAGCTCATCATCGGGAGATAAGATCAGAGACACTGTGGAAGGCCTGGGTTTTAACGGGCAGAAAATACAAGCTCTTCCAAACATCAGGCCTACCCTGCAGAAAACAAACCCCCAAGCACACCCTGGCTTTGGGGGTGCTCTGCTGGAGAGGATTTATCCCCCTCGTAAAGATCAGTATCTAGAGGTGAAGAAAGAGTCATGCCACTCCCAGCAGGGCCTCCAGTCAGTCAGGAGTGCTTCACTTTCAATTACGGAGAGCAGCTGTAGACTGGTGCTTATGTAACGGGCTCGGTGCCTCCTTCTCAGGAGGAGGATGTGGAACCATTTGGTGTTTGGAGAATAATGAGTCATGGTCAGAGTTAGGGAGTAGAAACAGTGTTTCTCCCCTGTGTTGCTTCATCCGGAACTTCTAGTAAAGAATGATAAGTGTGAGTCAGAGCCTGGTGGGGCCTACAGGGAGGAGTGGTTCTCAAATTTGGGCCCCGAGGCTGGAAGGGACTTTGAGAGGCATTTGCAGCCCAGCTGGGCACTTTGTGAGGAGATTCACTGTTTATTCGGGCTTGTGGTTAACCTGCCAGGGGTTTTCTTATCTGGAGTGATTGTAGCCCTTTTCTAGGGCCCCACCAGAATCCGGGAGTATTCAGAGTGAGCAGGGCTTTCTCCAAGACTCATGTTAACACTGAAAAAAGGAAACAAATCTGAGGGGTGAAGAAAGGGGAACGTTTACATCAACTGAGAAGTCAAAGGTTTAGTGTCAGTCAGAGAGAGAGAATGAAGATCTTATAGGTCATATTCTGAGGTAAAAATAAACAAAATCCTGACAAAACAAAACAAAATCAGGCTCTGTAATAAAGTGAAGTAGAAATCACCTGTATCTTATCATGATTCTAAGAAATCCAGTCAAAATTTATGGGCTGTCTAGGTCAGCAAATACTTTCTTGTTCCTCCCCCATTCCCACCAACTGTGCCCTTCAGTACGCCCAGCCAGTAACCACAGCTCCACTGGCCTTCAGCAAATCCCTACCCACATCTGGGTGTGCACACAGGGCCTCATATGGAGTTGGTGAGTCTGCTTGATGTTGCGGTGCGTGGGTCCCTAAACCCTAGGCCATGGGCCAATACCAACATCAGCCTGTTAGGCACTGGGCTGAGTAGTAGGAGGCAAGCAACCAGGGAGAGGAAGCTTCATCTGTATTCACAGCTGCTCCCCATTGCTGGCATCACTGCCTGAGCTCTGCCCAGGCAGATCAGCAGCAGTGGCATTAGATTCTCATAGGAGCGCGAACCCTACCGTGCACTGTGCACGTAAGGGATCTGGGCTGCACACTCCTTATGAGAATCTAATGTAACAAAAATAGAAAGGAAGTACACAGTAAGTGTAATGCACTTGAATCATCCAGAAAGCACTACCCCTTCAATCCTTGGAAAAACTGTCTTCCATGAAACCGGTCACTGACGCCAGAAAGGTTGGAGACTGCTGGTGTGGTAGATACTGTAAGAAGGTCAGGGCAACTTACCTGATGAGCAATATAGGAAACTTTCCTCAATGTGCAAGTAGAGAGTTGAGCCCTGCCTATGTGCCCTGCTTAGCATAGAGGTCAAGATCAAA